AAATAAATGACCTAGAAACACATCTGAAGGGCCTAGAAAGCAAGAATGAACCAAACACCAAATTAGAAACAAAAAAGAAAAATTAAAATTAGAGAATGAGCAAAATTGAAACCAATAATACTACAGGAAATCAGTGAACTGAAGAACTGGTGTTTGAAACAATAAACAAACTTTAAACACCCCTGATGCAACTAACCAAAACTGAAACAAAATTAAAAATAAAAAAAAACAAAGGGGGAGAAAAAGACCCAAATTAATAAAATCAGAGATGAAAAAGATGTTACAATAGATACCACAGAAGCATCGGGAATTACTATAAATAGCTATATGCCAACTGGAAAATCTTAAAAGAAACAGATTACTTGGCTGAATTAGTCTACTGAAGATGAGCCATAAAGACACAGAAAACCTAAAATAAACCAGTAACAGTGACCCTCCCAGCAAAGAAAAACCCAGGACCAGATGACTTCACTACTAAATTCTACCACATTTTAAAGGAAGAATTCATTCCAATTATTCTCAAACTATTCAAAACAATTACAAGGGAAGGAATCCACTCAAACTAATTTTTGAGTATCATTTTATTTCAAAACCAGAAAAAGACGTTACAAAGAGCAATATAAATATAATATAAACCAATATCTGTGATTAACACAGATGTAAAATTACTCAACAGAATACTATGTCATTTCCCAGACCAAGTGAGATTTATCCCTGTTATTCAAGGATGGTTCATTATATGCAAATCAAAAAAATGTGAGACACCACAATAACAAGCTGACCAAAATTAACTCATCAGAGAAAGAATTGGGTAAAGTACAACATTCCTTCTTGACAAAAACCTGAAGTAAACTGATATGGTAAAAACATTCCTCATTCAACCAAGGTAATATATGAAAACCCATTTCCAGCATGATAATGAATGGTGAAAAGTTAGTGGCTTTTCCACTGAGATCCGGAAGCAGACAGGGATGCCCACTCTCACCACTGCTATTCAGTACAGTCCTGGAAGGTTTAGCCAGAGCCATTATGTCAGATAAAGAAATCAAAGTGACAAAAATTGTAAAGTAAGTTCTTCATGCTTTGAGATGGCATGATGGGGAAAGCAAAGGACTTTACTAAAGGATTATTGGAACTATAAGAGAATAGTATTAGTAAAGCTGCAAGGCATAAAATCAACACACAAAAATTAATAGCTTTAACCAAACAACCAAAAATGAGAATCTCTACCCTTGCCTATGCCAACAGTGTCAGGATCCATGGAAAGAGCAGAAAGGTGGAACCATTACTCTTTCATATTGAATTTTAAGTGGCTATTCTGTCATGATGCTCTTTTTAATACAGCTGAGGGGTTATTTTGTTCATCCTCTTAAGGAATAGCTCTTATCTGGATCTGTACTTTTTTGGCTTTAAATCCAATTAATTTAGCAGTGAATTTGACCTTTTCCCATTTCCTATTCCTTTGTATCTTTTTCAATTAATAGATCATTCATATGAGACATTTTGATTGTTTGAAGGCACATGATGTTGTAAATGTCCCTTTCAACACTGTTTTTGCTACATCTCATGGGCACTGATGTTCTTGCTTTTATTGTTATTTGTTCAGGACCTCGTGGGTCATGCAGTAGCATTTTTACAAGAAGGATCTTGATTTTCTTTTTCACCACTTTAACAACACATTGGTCATTCTGTAGCATGTTATTTACCTTCATGTTAATATAAATTTCCCATTTCTTTCTCTCCCTTGTGGACTGTGTTTTTGGTTCTGCATTTAAGGAGATGTATAAGAGAAATACTGTAACGTAGACTGACATGTCCAGATGTGGAGACTTAATGCAGTATGCACCCCTACACATCCAGACCAAACAAGGACTCCCACTGAAACTGTTGAATATATCCTGACAGCAGGATGCTGGATATTCTGACATTGTCTGACACTGTCAGGAAACACTTCAACAATGGGATGATGGACTTATGACTGTTAATAAAATATTATCCATCATAATTCTAGAGGGAGAATCAATAGAGTGGAGGGCACTTGAGGATGGGGATGGGAAATTCCAAAGCCTATAGAACTGTATCATAAAATAATAATAATAATAATGTTTTTTTACCAAAAAAAATGTCATGGCTGAGAAAAAACTTCTAAGATTAGTCCAATTCACAAAAGCCACAAAAAAATTTTTTTTTAAAGCTTGGAATAAATTTAACCAAGAATGTGAGGAGGTCTCTACAATAAAAATTATGAAACACTTTATAAAGAAATAGAATAAGATCCCAGACATGGAAAAATATGACATATTTGTGGATTGGTAGAATTAATATAGTGAAAAATGTCCATATTACCAAAAGTGATGTATAGATTCAAAGCAATAACAATCAAAATACCTATAATATTCTTCCCAGATCTAGAAAAAATTATGCTAAAATTCATATGGAAATACAAGAGACCCTGAAGAGGTAAAGCAATCTTAAATAACAAAAGCAAAGCTGGAGCTATCACAATATTAAACTTCAAAACAAATTACACTGCAACAGTAATCAAAATATCCTGGTACTAGCATAAATACACAAAGTTCAGTGGAACCGAACAGAAATTCCAGAAAGGACACCATATATCTACAGACAACTGATATTTTTTAGCTTTTATTTAATTTTTATTGGAAACGCAGATATACAGAGAGAAGCAGAGGCAGAGAGGAAGATCTTCCATCCACTTTTCCAAGCGGCCACAACGGCTGGAGCTGAGCCAATCCAAAACCAGAGGCCAGGAGCTTCTTCCGGGTCTTCCATGTGAGAGCAGGGTCCCAAGGCTTGGGCCATCTTGGACTCCTTTCCCAGGCCACAAGCAGGGAACTGGATGGGAAGCGGGCCATTGGGACATGAACCAGTGCCTATATGGGATGCCAGCATGTGCAAGGTGAGGACTTCAGTCACTAGGCTAGAACACTGTGCCAGGACCAGCCAACTGATTTTTGATAAGTGAACCAAAATCAATCCAGGGAGAAAGGATAATCTTTTCAACAAATGGGTCTGGGGAAATTGAATCTGTACTTGGAGCAGTAAGAAATAAAACTCCTACTTTACAGTTTATACACAAATCAACTTGTAATGGAGTAAGTATTTAAATCTATGATCTGATACATTTCTAGAGGAAAACATTGGAAATACACTGCAAGGCACAGGCAAAGACTTCTTGAAAAAAAACCCAAGATCACAAATAATGAAAGCACAAGTAAACAAATGAGATTACATCAAGCCAGGTATTCTCTGCATTGGTCAATAAAGTGAAAAGGGAGCCAACAGAATGCGAGAAAATATTTGAAAACTACACAACTGGATATGGATCCGTATCCAGGGTTAATAAAGAACTCATGAAACTCAACAATAGCATAACAAACAATCCAGTTAATAAATAGGCAAAACATACGAATAGGCATTTTTCAAAAAATGAAATCCAAATGGCTAATGTATAAATAAAATCTCCAGCTATAAAGGAAATGCAAATAAAAACTACAATGAGGTTCCTTTTCAACCTGTGTACATACAGAAATCAGAAAATAATAACTGCTGGCAAGAATATAGGAAAAACATACCCTAATCCATTGTTGGTGGGAATGTAAACTAGTGAAACCATTATGGAAGACAGTGTGGAATTTTCTCAGATCTCTGAATATATATCTACCATATGATCCAGCCATCCCACTCCTGATACTATATTCAAACAAAACACAATGAACATATGAGTGTTATCTGTACCCCCATGTTAACATCAGCACAAATCACCATAGCAAAGATGTGGAATCAACCCAGATACCCATAAACCGATGACTGAAAAAAGAAAATGTGGTATATATATATCCCCCATGCAATCCTACTCAGCCATAAGAAAGAATGAAACTAAATGAATCCAACTGGAAACTACCATGCCTAGTCTCTAAAAGAAAAATATGGTATTTTCCCCTGATTTGTGGTAACTAATATGCAAAATGAACACAAGTAACGTACCCGAGTAAAGCTAATAGTTTGAGTTTACTGTTTACGGCCATTTTCTGTACTGTTAGGGAACAACGACTTTTCTATTTACTAGTTGTTGAATTCTCTAATTTGCTGAGGGAGGGTTAAGCTTGTGGTTATAAATTAAACTGAAAGTGTGTCAATTTAAAAGTTAAAAGGAAAAAATAAAGAAAATAGCAAGGAGGATGAGAGCATTGGCAGGAGAGGGTAGAGTAGCAAATATTATGCCCTTAAACCTATGTATATGAAATACATGAAACTTGTTTACCTTATATAAATAGACACACTTAAAAAAAAAGACTTATGATGTATCGTAACATAGTAAGGATCCAGTAAGGAAACTTTTTTGACCATGGAACTCTGTTTTCTGAAAAAATCAACAATCCTGTGAGACAATCTTCTCATTTTAAGAGAGAGATTAGGACCTGGTATGGTAGCCTTGTGGCTAAAATTCTCGCCTTGAATGCACTGGGGTCCCATAGGGGCACTGGTTCTAATCCAGGCAACCTCGTTCCCATCCAGCTCCCTGCTTGTGGCCTGGGAAAGCAATCTAGAACAGCCCAAAGCCTTGGGACCCTGTACCCACATGGGAGTCTTGGAAGAAGGTCCTGGCTCTTGCTTTCGGATCGCCTCAGCTCAGGCCATTGCAGTCACTTGGGGAGTGAATCATCAGATACAGTAAGTTTCTCTCTGCCTTTCCTCCTCTCTGTATATCTGACTTTCCAATAAAAATGAATAAATCTTTTTTTTAAAAGCAGGTGAAATCCTGGAGTTTTTCTAAAGTTACTCAGGATTTAAATTGCTTAAATATTGGAGAGATATAGTCATTATGGACAATTACATAATAATAGCAGTTAGAAGGAGAGAGAAACAAGCTGATACAGAGATGTGGCAACAGTTTGTAAGGCTGACTGGATGCCGAAATCCTGAATATTATGATGCTCCCAAATCCCCACTAGTGATTAAAAACCAAAACTCTATACCTTATATCGTTCGTTGCAACGACTTCTAGAAAATAAACTCTCTAGACGAGGTTGAATAAGACGGTCATCCAAATAACAAAGAGAGGTCAACATATATTTTGCATATGATTTTCGTTGCTTGTCAGCTGTTTAGGGATCAATAACAAATAATACTTTGTGATCATCATGAACTATTTAATCAGTTGCATGAACTATTTAAACTATTTAAACTTAGGACTCTACCTACATAGTTTTAGGAAGTTGCTTGATTGGTTGGAAATATTTCAAAATAACAAAGGTTAAAAAAAAAACATTCCATTAGAACATCGGGGGAAGGAAATAATTTGCAATTCTCAAAAACACAAGCAAGGGAGGTGGAAGGGAGGGAAGATTCATTATGACCTTATAATGGTATTGTATACCTAAAATGCACTTGTTTTGTACAAGAATTTTTTAAAGATTCAAGTCCTCCTTGTAAACATTAAACTTTAGCATTGTTTTCTGATAGTAAAAAGAGCCAGAGAAAACGCTTGTCAAACATTTTTTTCCTACACAAAACTGACACAAATAAATAACCACTTCATTCCAGATCTAACTCAATGCTTTGAGTAGGCTTTCAAGGTCCCTGTGCTACTGGATCCATTCTACTCATGCCAATAGAGTAGGGATTTGAGAAATGTTTGTTCAATAAATGGAAAATGAAATATTATTTTGACATTTAGGTATTTAATACATTTTTTGTACAGTATTTGTAGCCTGCTAAATGTCTGAATCTGTGCTAGATGCGAAAGACAAACACACAGAGACATATGAGACAGCTCTTCCTACACTCTGGTAAGGGTAAAAAGTGAAAACTCATTGTTGATATAACATGTAAGCTACCCATATCACCATACTGTAGGTTATAAGTAATAATGAGAAAGTGATAACATCATATAGCTTTTGCAACAGAGATGTTTTTAAATTTACCTAGAAAATCGAGGGTAAAAGAGATTGTATTCAGAAGACCACAAGTGTTAAGCCACGTAGCTTTCATTGAAATGCAAAGAGCTTAGAGACACTGGAAGAGCACATATGCACAGGGGCATTATTTTATATGTCTTGCATTGTCAAATGTATTATAAAATCTTTCATGGCACGGACCTGTCACATAATTATACGTCACAAAATAATAACCACTATCAAGTTTTACTGTGTGAATTGAATTTTTTATACCTGATTTTGGATGAAGGTATTAAGAACTGATCTCCTTGGTTTTACTTATTTTACCCAGTTTTAAAATTGAGATTGCTTAATAACTGAAAAATTGCAACAGTTGTTCCATTAACACTGTTAACTTACCACACCACACTACTGACTTACCATACAATGTATCCAGAAAATTTTTATCTAAAGCATTGGTCAGAAGTGCCTTCACAACTCTTTCAAAGTGAGTATGGCGATCACAAAAAGAATCTGAAATTAATTTTTTTAAATTACAATGTGACAAATTCAACAGTTTCTAAATACAACAGGTTCTTTTTCCAAATTCTAAAAAAAAGATACTATATAAACAGAATAGCTTATTATCCAAATTTTTTAGTTGTCTATGATTTATGTAATTATTGAGAAAATCTCTACTTTCTAGAGTTAATGTCCTCTAACCCAAAGATTTTATTTATTTTATAAAATCATCACTTCCAAAGTTAAGGGTGAACTTTTCAGAGAATATTAACAGACATGTGGTCAGTCTAAAGCAAAAAGAAAATGGGGACATCCTGTAAAACTCAGTATCATTTCTTGTATACCTAAGTTCAACTACTAGCTTGGTAATAGGAGTAAGCAAGAAAGAAAATCTCCTAAGATGGTCTATTCTGTAAAACACACTACGCAGGCAATGGTCCAAGAAGCTGCTATCCTCCCCTGGACACAATGACCACAAAACAACAACAAACTTCATCTCCCTTCTTTCTGTCCCTAGTTGGGGATTTTTCACAAAAAATTATGAATCCTGTCTTCTCTTTTACATACTACATTTAAAGGCCTGCTTTCCCATTAATATATAATACTGCATATAAAATCATCCATTCTGACAGACCAGGCAGGGGTTAAGAGAGAAAGCCCCTGCTTTGTTCATTACTTTGGGGTCAGGGTTTACTATGACTGTGAAAACAGCAAACACGATTGCCTCCTTGATCCAAACGGTCACATCACAACCCTGCTGCAGGTCTCCGTGCACACAGTTTGAAGGATGCCCTTGTACCTCAGGAAACGAGAAGGATTTCTACGAAGCACTGCAGAAGATGTCATTAACATCCATGTGTGGCTGCTGAGTTTCCCTCTGGTTAAAGCTCAAAAATAAAATGGAATTGAACATGAACTTCTATTTTGCTTGATAAAATACTGATGATATTGTTTTCCAGACTTTAAGGAAACTATTTTTGAGAGACAGAGAGACAAAAAGGCATTCACTGGCTCACTCTCCAAATGTCAGGCAAAGGTGAAGTGTGTTCCTGAGTGGAATCAGCAGCCAGGAATGGAATTCTGGTCACGCACGATAATGGCGGGAACTCAATCACTTGATCCATTACAGCTGCCTGCCAGAGTTTGCACTGGATGGGTGGGTGAGGGGTGGGGGTGAAGCAGTAACAGGAACTGAACCAAGACAACTTAACACTGTAATAGACACTTGTTAACAGAGAAGAACTTCCAATACCTATTTTTTTCTTTAAAAAGATTTATTTATTTTTATTGGAAAGTCAGATATACAGAGAGGAGGAGAGATACAGAGGAAGATCTTCCGTCCAATGATTCATTCCCCAAGTGGCCACAAGGGCCAGAACTGACCCAATCTGAAGCCAGGATCCAGGATCCAGGAGCTTCTTCCGTGTCTCTCACACGGGTGAAGGGTCCCAGGACTTTGGGCCGTCCTGGACTGCTTTCCCAGGCCACAAGCAGGGAGCTGGATGGAAAGTGAGACTGACAGGATTACAACCAGAGTCTATATGCGATCCTGGCACATACAAGACAAGAACTTTAGCCACTAGGCTACCATGCTGGGTTCCACACACATTGCCTAAGAACACTTTATTCTCTCCTATTTTTCCTTTTTCTTTCCCCTGAGACAACATATTTTAAATTTACATTATGGTCAAATTTTATTTACTACATTAATTTTATTTTTCTTGTGCTTTTTGAAGTATCCTCATATTTCAAGGCCCTTGAGAGAGTATCTTTAGGATTGGGAGGAAAAGAGCAGGGCACAAATAAAACCCCCCCTGGGGAGGAGTTCTGTCCCTGCTGTATAACTCCTCTCCTATCAACGTGTACTAATACCTCCTCAAAAGTGAGGAAGACCCTTGTTTCACTACGCTTAGATGGACAGATAAGAATGGTGGCATTATGTTACTGGCATTCAAATGGAAGATAGTAATAACAGGAGGGCTTTGCAATGGCTCCATAAGCTAATCCTCCACCAGCAAGAATGGCACCCCATGTGGGCATAAGTTTGTGCCCCAGCACCCTGACTTGCAATCCAACTCCCTGCTTATGTATGACCTGGGAAAGCAGCGGAGGATGGTGCAAGTCCTTGGGCTACTGTGCTCAAGTGAAAGACCTCGAAGCCTGCTGGGTTTACATTAGCTCAGCTCTAGACATTTTGGTCATTTGGAGGGTGGAAGATCCAAATGGGTGGAAGATCTTTCCCTCTCTGTCTCTCCTTTGATTTGTATATCAGCCTTTCAAGTAACAATAAATATATTTTTTAAAGATAGTAGTAATAGCCTGAGTGAGCAAGTGTATGCCACACGTAATTCTAAGCCCTTGACTTTCTTCGTTTTCACAAATTTTCAGGCACTATTACTACATTTAACTTTTGGTTAAGAACATTAAAATACAGAAAATATGAAAAACTTAGCTAAAACCACAAGCCAGTAAGTGACGGTATTAGGGATAAAATCCAGGCAATCTTACACTATATTTCATCTTATGCCTTTGTTATGAATGGTACTCAGATTTGATATGGTATTTCAGAACATACAAATTGTGCTTGGAAGAAAAGCAGCTGTAAAAGAAATAATTCATCAAAGTTAAGAAAACAACACTCTCCATTATAAGGTAATTTACTAAAGGTCCTAAAATGGTAATGACCAGATTTTGACCTTGAACTTTTTCAATGCATAAGCTCTCTGGGGTATATTCTAGGAACACTTTTCAAACATTTCCCCCAGGATTACTTTAAAAAAAAAAATTGTTAGGATGGTCCCTGTGCAGTAGCCTAGTGGTTAAAGTCCTCACTTTGCGTGTGCCTGGATCCCATATGGGTGCTGGTTCTAATCCTGGCAGTATCGCGTCCTATCCAGCTTCCCACTTGTGGCCTGGGAAAGCAGTCAAGGATGGCACAAAGCCTTGGGACCCTGTACCCACGTGGGATCCTGCACTCATGTGGCAGACCTGGTGGAGGCTCCTAGCTCCTGGCTTTGTATCAGCTGTTTCAGCCACTGAGGCCACTTGCAGAATGAATCAGTGGATGGAAGATTTTCCTCTCTCTCTCTCTCTCTCTCTCTCTCCTCTTCTCTGTATATCTGACTTTCCAACAAAAATAAATAAAAATTTTAAAAATGTAGGAGAAAATCAACAATACCAGAGGCCTGGGGATCTGGACAGGTAAGTAGGGCCTGAGACTGGCATGCCACCCTGCCCAAAGACCGGGCTAGGGGATCCAAGCACCTGCAGGCAAGGGGGTTGTGGCCTGCTCAGGGAAGGAGAAACGGGGGTGTGTGGGAGGTAGGATCACTGAGGAAGTATGCTGCAGGTGACAAATAACTTCTGGTGGATTTCCACCGACCAGGCTACTGTACTTGCAAGTAAGCAAGGGAACTGACACAGGGTGATTTGGAGGAGGGAAACTGGAGGATTTTCTGGGTCAGACCAATGCACCTGCCAGGACAAGATATGCCATGCCTGGACCAGGCTGCAGTATCCAATGGCAAGGGCCAAGCTAAGGTTAGGCTATGCCAAGCTGGGTCAGAGCTACCGCCAACATGTGCAAGAACTGTGGCTGGGAGCAGGCATGGTAGGGGAGCTAAGAGGACATTCCTGCTGTGCTGTAATAAACCATAAGAATAGGGGTAGGTGGAAATAAACATGGCTACATCCCTTGATGTGTGTGGGCTGGGTATGGGGATGCCCCACACTAGACTAAGGCTCTGGTACCTGCAGACATCCTTGAAAGCCAGAGTGGAAGTGGGATGGGCTGAGCTAGGTTGTGGCAATAGCTCATCCAGGTCTGGGGTGGGTCAAGTAGGGCTGGGTGAAGCACTCACCAGCGAGAACCAGAACGGGAGTGGGCTGGTCTGCAAAGGCCATGATACCCACAGGTGAATATCAGGCCTGGAGGTGGGCCAAGTCAGGCTGAGCCAAACACACACCAGTGTACTGAGATCTGTGACCGGGAGTTAATCTGATAGGACAGCTGGGGGAACTCACCTATTAAGACGCAGCCCTGGCTGTTAAGCGTTAGAACTAAAGGTGGGAGCAGTCCAGTACAAGCTGGGCTACAGTACCCACTCGCATACATGTGGGTCAGGTTTGGAAGTGGGCCAGACTGGGCTAATCTGCAACACTCAACTGGCAGTGCAAAAGTCAGGAAGGGGTCCACACCAGGCCATGCCAGGCCAGGCTGGCATGCAACACTTGCCAGTTCTTATTAGGGCCAGGAACTGGAGGCTAGCCAGACTGGGCTAGGCCGCAGCACCTGTTGGCAAAAGCTGCAGTGAGATGTACCATGCCACACTGGGCCACAGCACCCACCAGCACATGCAAGACTCTAGACCAGGAGCAAATCTGGTTGGGGGGCTGGAGGTTCCCCCTATTAGGCCACTGCTTCTACTGGTGAGCATAACAGTGGAGCTCTAGAGTGGACTCTGTCAGCCAATGGATCTTGGAAGGATTTTCTCAATCTTGGATCAGTGAAATCAACAGCATCTTGGAATTCGCAAAGCTAGTCAAGCAATACACTTGGAACATTCTTCTCCACACTGGGGTTTCTAAGATGATACAAAGTGGACATCCCCATCCTGGCTACCAAAGTAGTTTGGCAGCTGGGACCAGATCCCTTCCTCTACCTTCTCCACTCCCTCCCCCACCCCATCCCCAATGCTTGAGAAAAGGGGGGAAGGAAAATTGAAAGTATTTGCCCCACTCACTTCCCCCCATACCATGACCCTCCTCCGCTCAATTCAATACTCCTAATGGAACTGCATTCTTGTCAACTATGTGAACAAGATCAATAACAACATAAAACTAAAAAATAAAATTCATCTAATAAAAAGATAAATCTTATCAAATATATATTTATTGAAAAACAACTTCTTGTATTATGTAAATGGCCTTTCAGAAACATTTCTATCTCTCCACTTATTCAAGCTTTCTATCTCAAAAGTTTATTTTTGTAACTATGAACTCATGGTTTTCTTTTTCAGATTAGGTCTAGGAATTTTATTTTTGCCCAGTGTAAATGGAATGTTTTCTGATTATAATTCCTAAGAGATTATTGCTAGTATAAAAGAATAGATTGAGTTCAACATATGATGAATCTGGTCATTTTTGCAAGACCTTTTATCAGTTTGGATACGAGGGGGAGATGAGCTTCATCTGACACTACAGAGCTGGAGAAATTTCACTAGATCGGTGGATGCAAAAGACCAAGTATGATGTTGTCTAGTGTTACTAAAAATAGCATTTAGAATAGCAAACAGTGCAACATGGCAACTATCAAGCTAACAAAGCTATTTGAAAATAGGACTACAGTACCTAATGATCAATCTGGAATGTGGTATTAAAAGCTGACTTGATACCTGGTTTAATACTACCTTTAAAACAATTATAAAACATTATCTTGATATTTAACTTACAAAAATTATTCGATTCTATTAATTCCAGTTGTGATTGAGTCAATCCTTTTTCTGGCTGGTTTTTATTCTCTTCATCATCTTCCTCTTCTTGAACTACGAAGTCATCTATTATATAATCATCTCCATCTTCATTATATTCATAACTGTCTTCCTTATCATTATCATCTGTATCAGTGCTTGAGCAAGATTCCTTTTCTGAGTCCTAATTAAATAAAAATAACCAGTAAATAATGCCTTTAAAGTGGTCAGTATGTAGTAATATAATCTTTTAGTGCAGTATTATAGATTACATATTAAAGCATAAAAACAAAAAAAATTAGCTTTATACTTGAAGGTTAAAAAAACAGAATTTTCTCGTGTTAAATGTTGAATGAGCATTTAGCTATGTGACATAAAATACTTAAAATGATCATTAAAATGTAAGAAGTTAAAACAGCAGGTATACAAAGCAACATACACTCTTTCAGCTTTAAAAAATGATGCACTGGGGCCAGTGCTGTGGTGTAGTTGATAAGCCTCTGCCTGTGGTGACAGCAGCTGTTTTGGTTCTTGGCTGCTCCACTTCTGATCCAGCTTCCTGCCTGTGACCTGGGAAAGCAGCAGAGGATGACCTAAGTCCTTGGACCCCTGTATCCACTTTGGGGACATATATTAAGCTCCTGCCTCCTGGGCTTCAGATTGGCCGAGCTCCAGTTGTTGCTGCTATTTGGGGAGTGACCCAGCAGATTGAATCTCTCTCTCTCTAGCTTTCCAATTAAAAAAATCCATATTTAGTTAAATAAAGTTAAAAGTGATGAACTGAGGCTCATGACAAATCAATGTACTAGACACAAAAGTACTGTGAAGCAAATTTTAGCATACTTGATTTAAAAATAAACTACATTGTTCCTGAGAACCAGAACACAGATTCAGTACTTTGAATTTGTCAAAATATATACTATAAGGAGAAATTTAACACAGTACACACCTCAAAATCTCTACCACTATGGTGTCTCTGTCGAGATCGTTGTTTTGAGAGTTCTTTCAGCTTCTGAAATCGTTGTTTCTGAGCAGCTATTCCTTTTTCATGGTTTTCTTGCCCCATTTCTATAGAACATTCATCTTCAACCACTCTACGTGGGCGTTTCAGCCCTACTTTTCTAACTAGTATATCACTATCATCGCTGTCATCAGAGTCATACATCACAGAGGAAATGCTTTTCCTTTTCCCTCGCTTGATATGTTCCTCCTCGAAATCTTCCTCTGTCACGTCTCTGGTGTGTTTGCTGAGTTTGTCGCTGTCTTCACATGGATGCCCTTCAAGTTCTGTTTGGTCAACACTCCTATGTTGGCTTGCTTCATCTGCTAAATGGTTGTCAGTGTTAGGGAGAGGTTCAATATCATTTCTTTCATTTTGAACTACTTTCAGCTTTGTTTCATTTTCTGGTGTTTGGTTACTCTCAGACCCTTCACTACTACCAAGCTCTTCATCACTATCAACACTTCCATCGTTACTAGTTTCTTCATCACCATCAAACTCTTCGTCACTATCAAGGAACAGGCAAATATTACTTCTTTTTGTCCGTCGCCAATCAATTCGAGATTTTTGTTCAGGCACTTGGGTTTTAGAGTTTCTCCTTGTTTCATGTCTTCTAACACGTATCATTTTCAGTTAAGCTTCTACAAAATAAAATTATCAAGAATAGAACAATCATAACTAGATTATAGCGATGAATCTATTCATGGTTCAAAGTATATTTACTCTCCCTTACTAAGTGGTTCAGAGGCGCAAATCACATGAACTAAGTATAGATGTCAGATATTCAATATTAAACCACTTATTAAATGTGTATGGAATGATAGCATAAATTTTATTCTGAATTCTGCACTATGATGTATGGAAAGGAATACAAAGAATTTTCCCAGTCTTGTCTTTCTAAAGATTATTATAAATGTCTAGATATAAAATACAAACATGCAATATTAACAGAAAGTTGAGGAAATATTCATCTGGCACCATGTACGTGATAAAAAATAACTGGCATAAGTATAAAGATGATGGAAGAGCAGAAATGCTATTTCCATATGCTACACTGAGGATCATCATCAAAAGATGTGGTATGAAATAATCATGAAGAACTGTACACTCACTGTACAAAACAGTAAAAATGGGACATGAAGTCCTAAGGACTAACCTCAGCATTTAATAAGCACATGGTTTTCTCAGCAAGTAAGTGTGACTAAAAAGGCATAAAAATAAAAGTTTAATTTTGAAAAAAAGATCAAGGTTGGAATTAGAAGACAATCACCAGGAAGAGGGAAAGAATTTTGAACACAGAAATGACATAACATGAAGGATCAATCAAGAAAATCAATTTTAATTGACATTAAAAAGAGTATTACAAAAAAAAAGTACAATAATGAAAAATAAACTATCCACCGAGATAATAGCCTTAGTATTCTTTAATACAACTGCAATGCTTTAAGCTCCTGACATTAAATATTTAGTTTAATCCAACAGGAAATTAAGTAACAACCCCATACTGTAGTTAAGTGAAAAAACAAACAAATAAACAAACTGTGGGGGCCCAGGCTGGTAGCCTAGTGACTAAAGCCATTGCCTTGCACACACCAGGATCCCATATGGGAACCAGTTCTGGTCCCAGCAGTCCCACTTCCCATTCAGCTCCCTGCTTGTAGCCTGGGAAAGTACTCAAGGACGGCCCAAAGCCTTGGGACCCTGAACCCTTGTGGGAGACCTGGAGGAGGTTCCTGGTTCCTGGCTTCGGATCAACGCAACACCGGTGGTTGCAGTCACTTGGGGAGTGAATCAAGAGACAGAATATCTTTTTCTCTGTCTCTCTTACTCTCTGTATATCTGACTTTGCAACAACAACAAAAATATAGCATTGCAATGGGAAAGAAAACCAAGAATATCCACTTTTAATTTAAAAGAGTGAATTTTATTAGGATTGTCAGAAGCATAAGAAACAATTAGTGACACATAAGACAATTAGAAAAACAATAACTCACACGCTTGTGTTTGCTAAGGAATAGAACAGTAATTGCAACAATAACAATGACTTCACAATACATATGTAAAAGCTTACTTATTCAACTCACTACTATTCCTTTCAGAGAAATCATTTCATAAGGTGTAATTCCAATATTTCTACAATGGCACAGAATATTCCTGGAGTTTTCTATAAACCATAGTATTAAAACATCAAAATAACATTTTTAAAATCAAAATGTGTATATTTATTTCAAAGAGCAGCAATATCCATTTCATTTGTCTCAATTGTGATTCTTAGTGACTTCCATAAATGGAATTGTCACAAGGTAAAAATAAACTACTGTTAAATATATTTACAATAGAAAATGCCATAAACTCTGAAGGTAATCCCAAAAATATAGCTCCAAACATTTCTGGAGTGGTGGCGGTTTTATCAAGCCAAGTTTCCAGCTTCTCAAGATGATTATGGCTCATTTAAGGTGGAAGGGAAAGGGTACCACTTACTTAATTGTGCATTGATGTATGTTTATAAACTAACATGAGTGGCTGTATAAGGGTAACACCTCTTAAAATCAGAACAGGAACAGAACAGCAGCCTTGCTACGACCATGAGCATAGGTGCATGTTTGTTACACTGTACAAAGATTGTAAGATTTTCAAGCAAACTTGTTTGAATTGGGAGAAAAAGCAACTTACGAAAACAAATGACAAAGATAGTTTCAGTAGATAAAAGAAAAACACACCAGTGAAAGATTTGTTACTATGCAAAAGTAGATTCAAGTACACTAGATGATTACTTTAAATGCTCAAGAGATAATCACTTGTCATATAAATTGATGACTTCTATGAGAATAGCAGAAAACACTGTCACACTAGTAAACAGACGTAGGACTGGATTCTTCAAAGTTATAACATAAATTCCCCTATGTGTACAATTTTTAATTTTTTGATAGTATTTTTAATTCCTGACAATGACCCTAGGATGAAGATAATATCTATTTTTATTTATAAATATCAAGGCCAAGGATATAGAGTTGAGATCACTTACCCAGGATTACACAGCTTGTTAGTGACAAAGCAGAGATAAGAAATCAGGTAACCTGACTCCCCATTCAGTGTCATACAATGACTTCTGTCAATATTGTATTTGTACAAGGTTACAAAAACTAAGCTTTTAAAAATATATCTTATTCTCTTGGTCATGCTATATTTTCATTTGGGAAAATAACTATCAATTCAGTTTAGTACTTACAAGCATATATTTCTATTATTATGTAACAGATTTTAGTACACACGAGTTAGGTCAGAAACTTCTTGATTTACTCATCCACCAAGCAAGAAAAGAATAAGCATAGCAGGTGAAAATGTAGACTTTTCTCTACCATCTTATTGTTGATTCGGATCACAATACTTAAGCCCTCGATAAGCCCCAAAATAACAATTTCAAAGAAAAGTAGTTCTTGATTAGAAAACTATTTATTTTTACAAGATGCAGAATATGAACAACTGAAGAGGTGCACTCTCTAAGGCAAGTTTCATTTGGCTTACTGCCAAACTGCCAGGTTCTTCCTCCTATTGCAAAGCTGTCATTTACATCAACAAAGCAAAACATTCTGTTACTGAAAAAGAAAGATAATTTGTGTATGTGTAAGGTTTGTACTCCTTCCAAACTCTGGATATCCTTACACTAGTTGGGGAGGGACGAATACATGGAAACAGGTCAATGAACTTGAGGAGAGGAATGAGGAAATAAAGCTAGCTGACATGTAAAATAATTTGATCTCTTGAATTTACTCAAAAAAGACTGAATGTAAACGGACTGAATTTCTCCACAGGCTGAATATACAATTTCATGAAATGAGAATAATCTTATCAAGCTTCTGTAATAATAACTTACTTTTAAGCAAAGAGAAAAACCAGACTCCATACAGGAAGTACTAAAGAAATGAATATCAACACGCCCATAGCTTTGTGGTTGTTGGTTAACACTATGTAAAATACACAGACACAGCTATGTGTTTTAACTAAACACAAACAAGAAACGGCACTAATGCAACTTCACAGTATGCTTTCTCTAACATGGAACCTGACGGTACTTCGATGAGGCCAATGACTTCCTCGTTAGAACATCCTCCACACCAGAGTCATCTAGGAATCACCCCCTCTGTTCAAAGAAGGCGGCTGTTTGCAGTTTTAAGATTTGAAGGGCAGTGGAATCGCAGGCCACTTTTGCAACTCCACCAGAAAGGATGCCTTCTTATTGGCACAACATCGCTTTTCCTTGATGTTTGGAGGGAAAATATTAAAAAAACCAAAGAAATAATTAGCTGAATTTCCTACCCAAAGGCCAGCACATGCTTGGGGCTATTAGATAAAATACACGAGGTTTCTGCTTCCAAGGAGCTCTCAATCAGCACTCTGAGGGGCACCCCAGGCAAGGCCCCACAGCAATCTGAGGGCTAAAACCAGGTTCCACTGGCTAGGAAAGAAAAAAAAAAAAAAAAAAAGCGGAACATCAAAAAGAAAGTAGCAAACTGCTAGCGAGAGGTAAGCTAATCGCCACCATCTAAAATCAAGGTCCAATGCAGTGAGACTTCAAGAGGGGATCCTGCATCCAGAAAAACCACCTAATTCCTGCACAGCACCCACACGGGCAGCCGGAAGCAGCAGCCCGCGCAGGGACAGATCGGGGCAGCTAACACAGTTCACGGGTCCTCTCAGGATTACAAACCTGGCTCCCTGGCAGGATGCAGGTGCCCGCCCGCTGGTCAGTCCCTCAGCCTCCAGCTGAGCGGGGTCCGGTCGCCAGGAAACCGGCCTCGGAAACAGAGCTTCCCGATGACGTACGCGGAAGGACACAGACCCCTCAGAAGGGGCCCCGAAATGGCCAGAAAGCCGAGCCCCCAGCCCTCCACCCTGCGCCAGCTCCCGAGCACTCAGCAGTGCCCAGCACTCTGCACGAGCCCGGACATCGCGTCCAGCGCTGTCCAGCCCCACCTCGGGGAGGCGACGCCGCCCAGGCCCCACCTCGGGGAGGCACCTCGGGGAGGCGCCGCGGTCCAGGCCCCACCTCGGGGAGGCGCCGCCGCCCAGGCCCCACCTCAGCAGCCGCCGAGCCGGCCCCTCAGCAGCCTCTGCCACTTCCCGTTCCGCCCTCGCGCTCTCACCGGCCCCGCCCCCTCACCGGCCCCGCCCCGACTCCTACGTCACGGACACCGCCTTTTCCTTCCGGGCGCTCGCGGGAAGTCCGGCCTCTGGGCGGGGAGAGGGGCGGGGCAAGTTGCGTCTTCCGGGAGCGTGCGCTGGGGGAGGAGCTGCTGCCGCGCGGTAGTCAGGGAGCATTTTCGGGGTCCTGGTTACAACTGAGGTGGGCGAGGGGCCCGGAGGGCCGGGAGGGGCCGGGAGGAGCGTCCAGGCCCTGCCCGGCGCGGGGAAGCGGGCCTGCGCACCACGAGGGCCCGTCTGCTGGGGGAAGTGACCGCTCCCCGAGGAAGGGGCCAGTCCCCGACTCCGCGTCTTCCGCTCACTGCCTTAACTTTGGGGTGTGGCGGGGCTTCTCCGACGGGACTGTTCCTCGGAGGAGGTCTGCATGTGCAGGAGGTTGGAAGCCACGCTGGTGCTGCTCATCCTCCTGGCTGACTCTTGGGCTGATCCAAACACATGCTGCTAATCCGGATTATCCGCGGTGACCTGGGGCCTCTGCGGCCCGTCTAAGTTCCAGGCCTACCCCAAACTTGCTCCGCTTTCCGCAGCCAGCCAAGACCACCCGCGGGAGGGGGGTCAGGGCCTTCACGCTGCCCCTGAGAGTTGTGAGACTATCAGAGACAAGGACGAATTAGTTGGTGGATCACTGCGGGGTGAGTGTGGAGGGAATCCTGGAATTGTCACGATGTCCGGGAAACGGAAGCGTGTGGTGCTGACTATTAAAGATAAGCTGGATATCATAAAGAAACTCGAAGACGGGGGTTCTTCCAAACAACTGGCAGTGATTTATGGAATTGGTGAAACAACAGTGCGAGATATAAGAAAAAATAAGGAAAAGATTATAACCTACGCTAGCAGTTCTGATTCCACGAGTCTTCTGGCCAAGAGGAAATCCATGAAGCCCTCTATGTATGAGGAGCTGGACAAAGCCATGCTGGAGTGGTTCAACCAGCAGAGAGCTAAAGGGAATCCTGTATCTGGACCAATTTGTGCCAAAAGGGCAGAGTTTTTCTTTTACGCTTTGGGTATGGATGGTGATTTTAACCCCTCTGCCGGTTGGCTAACTCGCTTTAAACAGCGACACAGCATTAGAGAGATTAACATCAGAAACGAAAGATTAAATGGGGATGAGACTGCTGTGGAAGATTTTTGTAACAACTTCCGAGACTTCATTGAGCGTGAGAATTTGCAGCCTGAACAAATTTACAATGCAGATGAAACGGGACTCTTTTGGAAGTGCCTGCCATCCCGAACTTCTGCCATGAGAGGTAAATGCACCCTGCCTGGGCAGAAGTCAGCTGAAGAAAGGGTCACCATCATGTGCTGTGCCAATGCAACAGGTTTACACAAACTGAAACTCTGTGTTGTGGGGAAAGCCAAGAAGCCCCGCTCCTTCAAGTCCACCGACACCTTAAATCTACCGGTTTCTTACTTCAGCCAAAAGGGCGCCTGGATGGATCTTTCCATTTTCCGACAGTGGTTTGATAAGATATTTGTTCCACAAGTTCGAGAGCACTTAAGATCCAAAGGACTGCAGGAAAAGGCCGTGCTCTTGTTGGATAATTCACCGACACACCCGAATGAGAACGTTTTGAGATCAGATGATGGCCAAATATTTGCTAAATACTTACCACCTAATGTGGCTTCATTGGTTCAGCCCTTGGATCAGGGGGCCATCGCAACGATGAAGAGGAACTATCGCGCAGGCCTTCTACAGAGCAACTTGGAAGAAGGTAATGACCTGAAGTCGTTCTGGAAGAAATTAACTCTGCTGGATGCACTTTATGGAATAGCAACGGCATGGAATTTAGTAAAACCAGTGACCATTAGCAGAGCGTGGAAACAAATCCTGCCTGTCACTGAGGAGAAAGAAGGCTTGGACTTTGATGAGGAAGGTATTTCTATGGCCACTGTGGCCACCATTTTGCAACACACCAAAGGACTGGAACATATGACTACTGAGAACATTGAAAAATGGTTTGAGGTAGACAGTACTGAACCAGGCTACGAAGTGTTAAGTGACAGTGAAATCATCAGAAGAGCTCAAGGCCAGATGGAAGAATCTAGTGAAAATGAGGAAGAGGAAATAGAACTGATCCCAGAGAAGCATGTTAACCATGCAGCTGCTCTCCAATGGACTGAAAATTTATTGGATTACCTAGAACAGCAAGGAGACATGATTCTGCCTGATAAACTGGTAATACGGAAACTGAGAGCCACCATCAGAAATAAACAAAAGATGACAAACTCAAGTCAGTAATGGCATTTTCAGCTTTATCACTGTGTTTGTAATTGTGCTTGTGACTGTAAAATGCAACTTAATTTGTATTCTGGATTCTTAGACACAGTCTTGTGAAACTGTATCTAAGATAGTTTCACAGCGATGTGTCTACAGTGGCTTAAGGGTTGTGTGTTTTCATCAACTGTGTCTCATCCCTTTGTGTAGATAATTAGAAACTGATTCTATGTAGATGTGACTTACATGTGTCTTCACTTTTGTAAATCACCAGTTACCCACCCTTGTGTAAAAATGGCATTCCCTCAACTTTGTCATGGAAGTTAGAGGTAGCAGTGAACAGACAGAGCACTTTCCCAGAATCTTTTCCTAGATTCATTAAGCTACCCTGGCAAGTTTTACTTTGTGCTAACCATCTTAAATGGTTGTCTCTTATGTGCATTTGATGTATAGGCTGACAGAATTAGAAAGAACTATTAGATTTAAGGATGATATTTAAACTAAGCCCTAATAATGATGGCAAAACTAACCTATGAATAATGAAAATAACTTAGGTATCATACTTCTTTTTGTCAATTGTGTGCGTGGCCAGGAGGGAGACATGATTCTGGAAATTAAGTCAATATAGAATGTAGGTAATAATTGAGGAAAATTCTTAGAGCTGGTATGTAAAAATACTCTGGTAATTTGAAGCAGGATTTAAAGATGTGGGGAAAATAGTTATTTATGCGAAAGGAATAAATAGGCTTTAAAAATTTTGGTCTTTTTATTGTATTATGAATTGGATACCAGTATAGGGTTATTATTTATTCATCTAATTATACTACAGATTTTATAATGTTACATATCATACAGGCCTTCACCTGGCTTGGGAGAACAACATCTCTGAAATTTCAAAGATAATACGTTTTTTTTTTTTTAATTTGTTTTTTGAACTGAGTGCTTAGGAATGTTATCTGTCATTTCAAAACGTGTCATAAAGAAAGGGTTAAAGTTTTTATTTTAAATAAATCATTTGTCCTGTTTTACAAAGGAAGCAGAAATAACAGGAACATATCAGAAGTAAGGGATGATATTGCTTATTTTGGCATTTGTATTAAGGCATTCTAAAATTTAACGGCATTTAAAAACATTTCTGTTAACTCAGTAAGTTAAGTTGGAAGACTGCATATGTTAAGTACTTTACAATTGAAAAGCAAAATGTTTTCATTTTGTGTATTGACCCAAAGTAATAGGGGAAAAAATGGAATTGCTTCTAATTAGTCATTTTCAGTCAGCTTTAACTGCTTCATGGAGACACTTAACACTTTAGAGTGCCTTTCTTAGAATTCTGAAACTTTAAGAAGATTTTTAGCATTCCATAATTTCTGTTACTTTCATGAAATAATTGTATCTTGATTTCTTAACACTGGTGATGAAAGTGTTTAGCAATTGTATTGTACATTGCATGAACTATCTCAGTGCAGCTTGGGAAACACGTCGGGAGTTACTGAATCAGGTGATTAAACACTCTACTATAAGTTAAGTTGTATATAAAATAATTTTTTTTCTAAAGTAAAAATATATACTAAAGAAGCTTTTTGGAGTTGTGTACTGTTTTCAAAATTCTTTTCATTGAAATTCAGCTGTATTATTGCCACCTAGTGGCAAAATTTGTATTACTATGATTTTAAGCTTTAGTAAAGGATTCGCTGTTTCTTGCCTTTGAGTGTGAATGTTGTGATATTGTAGCCTAAAAGAATCTGCTCTGTTTGACTTCTGACGTCTACTGACTCTGGTACCTAGCAGTTCTGTTTTGGACCCTGCTCTCCTTTATTATAAAAGCTGCCAACAGTGGAATGCCGTTTTTTGTTCTAAGCAGGGTAGTTATGACAGTTAAACCTCCATGAGTTAGAAATACTGTTGTTCAGCTTGTATTCTTAATTGCTGAAGATTGCTTGGCTCTAGGTAAGAATTTAAGCCGAGATATTTGATTCCATGCCTATGCGTATGTCATCCAAACTAGGCTAATCTCTAAATCTTTGCAGTCTTAAGCAATGTGTGCTTTTTACTTCCTTCAGCCCTTTGCTGTGTTTGTCTAAACTGTATTCCATTTTCAAGTTCACTGAATGACAATGTATGTACTTTCCTTTATCTTTTTGTGAAATTGTTCTTCCTCCTTCACTATTCTGTGGTTGTCACTATTTTAATCAACAACCCTCTAGCAGTTGAATCTTGCATCATCTGCTTTCTGATTTCCTGGTACCCAGGCTCAATGAGGATCCTTTCTCAGGTAAGCAATTTTAAATGCAACATTGGGAAAATAAGCAGTTTCTGCAAAACCTTCTCAAGTTCATGAGGCAGTCTGGAAAAGATTCAAGAGTTGATGAGTATCAGCATGGAATTCTTATTTGGCCAGGGGTTATGGAAATGACCTCTAAGAAAAGCAAATGTGTATGTGTAGACTCACTTTCACACAAAGACCAAAAGGAAAAAGTAACCTCCCAAAATGAAACAGTATGGGGGAGTGGAAGCTGGGTCAAGTAGCTGAGGGAGTGATTGGAGGAGGCAAAAGGAAAAAGAAATGTAGTTGATGCCGTATAATTATAGATAAGCCATGCAATCTCTTTAAGATCTAATTGATGTATTTGAAATGGAGAGTTAGAAATAGATATTCCATCCATTGGTTCAATCCTCAGGTGGCTGCAACTGCCAGAGCTTGTTGGATAGAGAAGCAATGTCGTCCATGTGTTCCACAAGGGTAGCAGAGGTCTTTGCACTAGAATCATCTTCCATTGCTTTTCCCAGGCCATTAGAGAGGTAGATGTAGAGTATCCAAGGCTCGAATTGGTGCCCACCTGTGGTGCTGTTGTCACAGGAAGTGGTCCTACCTGCTGTGCCACAAGGTTGACTGCTAATCTGATGTTTACCTTTTTTCTCTTATCCAATTTAGTGCCAGATTAAATACATTTGGTCAGTAGTTGAGAAAACTACTGTTAGATGATGCTGAAATGACTTGAGTTGTTTTTTTTTTTAAGATTGATTTATTTATTGGAAAGTCAGATATACAGAAGAGGAGAGAGAGAGGAAGATCTTCCATCCGATGATTCACTCCCCAAGTGAGTGCAACAGCCGATGCTATGCCGATCCGAAGCTGGGAACTGGGGACCTCTTCCGGGTATCCCACACTGGTACAGGGTCCCAAGGCATTGGGCCGTGCTGGACTGCTTTCCCTGGCACAGGCAGGGAGCTGGATGGGAAGTGGAGCTGCCGGGATTAGAACCGGCACCCATATGGAAGCACAATGCGTTCAAGGCGGGGACTTTAGCCACTGGGCCCACGACTTGAGTTTTACATCTTACCCTAAGCTGTAGACCCTTAGTTTCTAGTCCATGTTCTATGAATGCCTCATTGTTTGCTGCTTAATTTCTTCACTTGAAGTCTATCACTTGGGATCTGTGTCACCAGTATAAGTTTTTTTTTTTTTAACATTTATTTAACTTAAAATAGTACTTTCATTAAGCAAGCTGTGTAACAATGTTTCCTATAGAGCCCAATCATTTTGGAGAGTGGATTACTTGTACTGTTTGATGTGGATTTTTAAGGAGAGATTTTGGTTTTCTGGGGAGGAGAGGTGCTGAAGGAATTATTTGAAATACTTAATCTATTGAGTGTAAAACTTGTTTTACCAAATGCTTAAAATTATTGAGTGTGGTTGGTTTAGGCCAACATAAAAGAAGAGGAAAAGTTTCTGGTCCTTGAGCATCTTGAAATCAAGACAGAGAAATACCACATTGCACCAGTGGAGGATGGCTCAAATACTTGGTTTACTGCCACCAATATGGAAAACCCCAATGAAGTCCTTGGCACCTGGCTTCAGGCTGGTTCAGCCCAGGTGTTTGTAGCCATTTGAGAAATGAGGTAATAGAAGATCCCTTCTTTCGCTCTTACTGTCTTTTGAAGATTTATAAAAATCTGAAAAATTTTGAGAACAACAATATGAAGCTATCAGATTGAGCTGTAAGCACATATAAAATAGTGGATATAATGTGATATAAATTGTGTAAGGAAGGCATGTGGATATATTTGCTTATGCATTCCTCCATTCACTTCTGTATATTCTACAGTTTAGGTTTAATATTTCTTAGTTTTTCCTGTCCCCAAATGATTACGTCCATTCCCTCCCACCCTCCACACACACAGACAAGGTATACCCTGCCTCAAGAAATCCAGATTGTTAATTGGAGAAGAAAGCCTTAAAGTCTGGAAGAGAAAACTTGCTTAGCTGGTTACCTAATGATTTTCCATTAGGATTCTAATGTCAGAGCCACCTAGACAGGCTGTTGTTCAATTAATTGTTATAACCGGAATAAAAAGGTAATGCTCCCTTTGTCTGGAGTGTTTTCTTACAGTTTTTCCTGATGTATGTTATGTCCTTACCTCCCATGAGTAATCCCTTTATGTGTGTGTGTGTGTGTCTTTGTATTCTTGTTGCTCTTAATATTTGCTATGTTTCTACTTCAAACCTTCAGCTGTACTCCTTAGAAATGAATTCTTGCCTGTTTCTTTTGTTTAAGGCAGTGACATCTTTACACAGTGACTAACTTCATGCAGTTCCGTCATGAGTTGGAGATAGAAAGATGTCAATAGGATAGTGACTGCCTTCCCAGCGGTAACGAATGTACATATTGACGTCTTCAGATGTTCAGGTTCTATCAGAATTTCCACACCATAAAGTGATGCATTGGTTGTGCTTCAGAACTGTGGGCTAAGAACATCTAGTCATAAATAACCATAGGGTCAATGCAAGGTAATATTGAAACCAAACCCCTATAACAATACCTTTCAGGCACATAATAGAAGCTGCCCATTTCCTTGGGTTCTTGTGCTACCTCTCTTAGCTTAAAGCTTTTTTCGCCCTCTCCATGACTTTCAGTCAACCTCTTAACCAAAATTGACTAAATTCAGAGTTATAGCTGGCCCTACAGGGTGAATGATCACAATGCTTATGAGGATATTGATTTGCTGTATAGGTAAAGTGTTAAGCTTTTTATAAAGTTTACCTACCAGTTTTGAGAATATTTATGTCTTAAAAATATTTTTTCTGTTATTGTGATTAATATGATAATAAATAATCTGCTGTCTACCATTTATCTTTTTTTAAAGTTTTATTTACTTTTATTTTAAACACAAATTTACAGAGAAAAGAAGAGACAGAGAAGGAAAGATCTTCCTGCTCCTGGTTCACTCCCCAGATGGCCACAATGGCCAGAGCTGAGCCCATGTAAAGCTAGGAGCCAGGAGATTTTTCTAGGTTTCTGATGTGGATGCAAAGTCCCAAGAATTTGGGCCAATTTCCATTGCTTTCCCAGTCAATAAGCAAGGGGCTGGATTGGAAATGGAGCAGCCAGGACATGAGCTGGTGCCAATATGGGTTGGTGGTACTTGATACTGAAATGTTCAGCCATGTGATCTTGAGTGTATTTCTAAGTCTTTGTCAGTATTACCAAAATGTGGTAACAATTCAGGATTCTTGATAGGATTAAGTAATTTGAGATATTTTATTAACCCAGGTAAGCATATTAACTTTTATATTAATAGCTCATTTTATGAGCTGGTGCAAATTAACTAGCCTTTAAATTATTAAAAGGATTAGAAGGAATTATAAAAATGAACAAAAGTGTCCAAGAACAAGGTATTTGAAAAAAAAACCAGGAATTTACAGTTAAAGGGAGGAACTATATGGATCAAGATGTACAATTTTAGCTACTTATGACTATCTACAATCATGTTTTTGTACTCCTTTTTAATTCTCTTACTGTTATCCAATGACAACACTAACTCGTTTATTTGTACTCTAAACTAGAATACTACTTTGTAAAAAAGTAAATTTCATAATATTTGTAGGTTCTCAGTTTGAAGACATTTCTAAGAAGAGGAATAATTCTGTAAATTTTAAAGCTATCAAAGCAAGAAATTATCTTGGGAGATTAAAAATCTCTTCCCAGTGTAGAAGTCTAAGATTTCATGGAAATTCCATTTTTACAGGAATAAGAGAAACATGAAAAGGAGAAAATGATGGCTAAGTAAAGGAATGTTGAATAAATTAATGACAAACATTTCTATCATTTTTATTCTCCCTGACTGTGGGAAATGAAGAATTTGGCTATAAACCGTAAGTTATCATGATGGTCAGCTTTTCTGTAAAGTTCCTTTGAAATAGAAATTGTTCAGATGCTTTCCAACTGACCAGCAGAAGTTACATGGTTTTAGTTGCTTGTTGATAACAAATGGACAGCGTGGGAATCCTCTCCTTGACTGATAGCATTTTGCAAAAGGTTAGCAATAATCAGCATTTTGTATCAAGTCTATCAGTCACAGATTAAGAGAATAGTTGGCGTTAAGTCTCCAGTGTGTATTCTTCCTTTTTATACATCTCTTCTTTCTCACAATGTACCAGAGTGTAAGCTTTCTTAGAAAACTTACTGTCTGTAGACTGGGCCTGAGCTCATGTCATTGACTATTTAATCTCTGTTCCCTCATATGCAATGAGGATAAGATCCTGAGTAGATGCATTTTAATATGAGATAAATAATAAGGAATTTCTATTCTCGTCGTATAAGACGTGTGTGGGAGGTGGATGTGTGTGGGTGTATGTATGTATGTACATGTCTTCATGAAAGAAATGTATCAGTGCTCCGTGGAACTGAAAGCATGCAAGTAAAATCC